CCCCATTTCCGAACCCCCCAATCCCGATGGAGTTCCCGGAGCACTGAGCACCCGTTTTCCCTGGGTTTTCCCATTTTTCGCAGCCCGATGGAGTTCCCCCAGCACTGATTGCCCATTTCCCCTGTTAATTTCCCCATTTCCCCCCTGTTCTCCCTGTTCATTTCCCCATTTTTCCCCATTTATTTCCCCGTTTCCTCCATTCCCCGCAGCCCGATGGAGTTCCCCGAGCACTGATTGCCCATTTTCCCTGTTTCCCCCCGCTTATTTCCCCGTTTCCTCTATTCCCCGCAGCCCGATGGAGTTCCCCGAGCACTGATCGCCCATTTTCCCTGTTTCCCCCCGTTTATTTCCCCGTTTTTCCCCAGCCCGATGGAGTTCCCCGAGCACTGATTGCCCATTTTCCCTGTTTCCCCCCGTTTATTTCCCCGTTTTTCCCCAGCCCGATGGAGTTCCCCGAGCACAGCCGGCAGCTGCTGCGGGGGCTGCGGGAGCAGCGCTCCCGGGGGATCCTGTGCGACTGCACGGTGCTGGTGGGCACCGCGCCCTTCCCGGCGCACCGGGCCGTGCTGGCCGCCTGCAGCTCCTTCTTCCACCTGTGCTACGCCGAGCCGGGCGGCGCGGGCGGGGCGCGGGGCGCCGTGGTGGCCCTCAACAGCGACATCGTCACGGCGCCCGCCTTCGCGCTGCTGCTGGAGTTCATGTACGAGGGGCGGCTGGCGCTGGCCGCCCCGCTGGAGGACGTGCTGGCCGCCGCCAGCTACCTGCACATGAACGACGTGGTCAAGCTGTGCAAGAAGAAGCTGCAGGCGCGGGGCCCGGCCGAGGCCGACAGCACCAAGCGGGAGGAGGACGCCGCCAGCCCGGCCCCGCCGCAGCCGCCGCCGCAGCCGCCGCTGCAGCCCCCGCCGGGCGACGCGGGGACGCCGCCGGAGCCGCCGCTGGTGGACGCGGCCGACACGACCCAGCCCGGGGTGGGCGGCGAGCGACCCCCGCCCAGCCCCAGCAGCTCCTGCGAGGCCGCGCCGGGACCCGGAGCCGCCGCCCCGTCCGCGGGCGGGGGTCCCTGGGCCGCGCCCCCCGGCCCCGCCGCTGTCATCAAGGCCGAGGCCATCGTGATCTCGGACGAGGAGCCCGACGGCGCCCGCCGCCCCGCCGCGCCCCCTCCTGCTCCTCCGCCGCCGCCGCCGCCGCCGCCGCCGCCTGCCCCGGGCCGAGCGGCGGGATTCGGGGAGGGGGCGGCGCTGGGCCCGGCGCTGGGGGGGCTGCGGGAGCCGCTGTTCCTGGCGCCGCTGGAGCCCCGCGGGGGTTTCGGGCTGTTCGCCGAGGAGGCCCCGACGTGCCCGACCTGCGGGAAGACGTTCTCGTGCTCGTACACGCTGCGGCGCCACGCCACCGTGCACACCCGCGAGCGGCCCTACGAGTGCCGCCACTGCCTGCGCTCCTACACGCAGTCCGGGGACCTGTACCGGCACGTCCGCAAGGCCCACAGCCACGGCGGGGCCGCCCGCGGGCCCCGCGACCCCGCCCGCGACGGCGACAACCCGCCCTGACCGCCGCGGCCGCCCGGGGAACCGGGATGGACCGAGCCGAGCCGAGCCGGCGGCGGGGCTCGGACGGGGACACCGGCATGGGGACAACTGCTCTGACCGGGGACACCGGGACGGGGATGCCTGCGGCCACCGGGACACCTGTACCGTGCTGGGACACCGGGACTGGGACACGCGCCCTGAGCGGGACCCCCGGGGCGGCAGCGCCTGCACGGCCGGGACCCCCGGGGTGGTGACACCTGC